TAGCTGGTGAAAGCTCTCCACGGAGCCGAGACCACCTCGTGGAAGACCAACATGTATTATCGCCAAAACATTCAAGGGCAAGGGGGTGTCTGGTAAGTGCAGTTATGGGTGGTGGGGGATGGATGCGTGAGAGATGGGCTTGAGCTATAAGATGTGACATAATTGACACAGAAATGCTGAATGTTTGAAATTTCCATGCTTTATCCTGATGACAGATTGGTTGTCCAAAACAACGCGATATAAGCTCTTATTATCAGGAGCCTTATTCTCCAAAACTTAACTAAAAAAAATCCAGATTTAAAGAAATACAGTAATTTGATTGGATAATAAAACTAAATTTAATATCAATCTTAGTGATTGACCAATCAGATGGCTGGAACATTAAACTTAGTTAAGTTTTCAAGAATAAGGACCCAGGACTATAGGTGAGCACATCATGGGTTGAACTACGTGTATGTTGAAATTTTGTCTAATTTTGTAGGAATTGAAGATCAGATCAACTGGCATGGAAAGCCTCTGGGTGGGGAAACAGAAAGGGCACTGGCTGAAATCAAGGCCATTATTAAGAATAATGGACCTTACAACATCACCCCACCCCAACCCAGTGGAACAGTTCAAGCAGCCAACATCTCCAATATAGCTCTACCAGAACCTCCTAAATATTCTGAACCAGTAAGTCACCTTTCAACTTTGACCCTTTCAGTAATGTCCTTTAACCTTCTAACCTTGACAGGGAAAGAGTGAACCTTATTGCCCTTTACTTTCAACCATACCCCTCTCTCAGTTTTCCAGCACAGTCCGTGAAAAAGGCTGGTTATTATTAAAAACTGACTAAACCTTAAACAAAAATTATAACACTGCTGGTGAATTTGCGTCATTGCGCAGTGCAGTGGTTATTCTTTTGATGTGAACAAAGTTTTGATTGCATTGCATTTGACTTTGGGTATGCTCTTCTCATCGAATTCATTGCTTTTTATGTCAAATATAGGTTATCATGAACAACTTTGGCTAGTTCAATTTACACTAATGTATAAAAGAAGTAAAGTGTCCTCCTTTCCATCGCGTTCTTCCCCACTTTAACGCGTAATAATTGTTATTTCAGACAGCATGTAGAGCAGCTTATGGTAAAGCCATTGCTAAAATAGGTCAAGCTAACAATCGGGTCATCGCCATGGACGGTGACACCAAAAACTCTACATATTCCATTAAACTTATGGTAAGTTAGTCATTAATTCATGGACCCTCAGAAACAAAGAACCATATTTTATAAAGATTAGGACTTAAGTTCTGATGGCCCTTTCTACAAATAGACCAGAGGGTGAATATCCTGCAAATGGCTTAGATACTCTTTGTCCTCTGCAGCAATATAAATTTGGGCAGCTGAGATAACCACAACTTTCTAAGCTAAGTAGTAGATTCTTTTAGAAAGCAAAAGGTAAATATGCAAAGCTCTTTGTGTCTGTCACCTTGACCTTAACTTAATGCAACCTTGACCTTAAGGCAACCCTGACCTTAAAGTAATGCAACCTTGGCCTTACATGAAAACCCACTGAGGCTCTTTCATACCTAATAAGCAGTCTGTAGAATGTTGCATTTTGTGTTTTTTTAGGACGTAAGACCAGATCAATACGTAGAATGTTTTATAGCAGAACAGAATTTAGTTGGAGTTGGTATTGGCTGTGCTACTAGAGACCGAACTGTTGTTTTCCTCAGCACCTTTGCTGCCTTCTTCACCAGAGCGTTCGATCAGATTCGAATGGGGGCCATCTCTCAAACTAATGTTAATTTTGTAGGATCCCATGCTGGAGTATCCATTGGTAAGTATTGATTAATGATAACTTATTAGACTATGGCTTATATCATGATGGTGATATGTTTCAGATATATAATCCTCATCAGGACATTTAATTGACATGAGCTCATCTAATGATGCTGACAGATGCTTTAGATATACAATCCTCATCAGGACCGTCAATTGACAAGAGCTCATTTTGTGCATGCGACAGGTGTTTCAAATACACAATCCTCATCAGGACAGTCAGTTGACTAGAGCTAATCTCATTGAGCTAGCAAATGTTATCAAAGATTTGGTGGCAAAGTGGATTGGGGATGGCATTCAAATTGTGCTGAATATTTTTATCTTATTTTGTTTTGTCAATAGGTGAAGATGGACCTTCACAGATGGCGCTGGAAGATTTGGCCATGTTTCAATCCATCCCAGGGTCCACTGTTTTCTATCCGTCTGACGCTGTCTCCATGGAACGAGCTGTAGAGTTGGCAGCCAACAAGTCTGGTATCTGTTTTATTCGTTCAAGTCGACCCAACATACCAATTCTTTATGGTGCTGATGAAGTTTTTAAAATTGGTCAAGCCAAGGTTTGTAATTTGATTTGGTGACCAAAATCCAGATAAATTTCAAAAGGATACAGACATCTCAATATCTTTCTTTAACACCTGGGTACGTATTCTCGAAATGATCTTAGTGCTAGGATATACTAAAACGGTTTTTAAGAACTTTGGACATCCTAGTGCTAAGATCGTTTCAAGAACACAGGGCCTTATTTCAGCTGTTTTACACCTTTCAGATTTGGAATTAAAAATCTTGTTCTGGCAACGCCACTAATACTAGCCCTTCATGATGTTGCACTTGCAAAGGCTCATAGATATTATTAGCAATATTGTGATATTGTGATATATGTCATATACAATAAAGCATTTACAGAAACCACAGACATCTGACTGAAAAAGAAGTGGTGCAAACTAATGCCATAAATTTCCTCTATACATATGAAAAATTGGATCTAATTTTGATTAGACAGCTACTAGTTTCGCTTTAATGGTTGTTATTCCTTTACTGTATTCATTCTATATTTCAGGTTCTACGTAAAACTGATTCTGATCAAGTAACAATAATAGGAGCCTGTGTAACTATTGTAGAGGCTCTGAAAGCAGCTGATGAGTTGGCTAAGAGTGGAGTCAATGTCAGAGTTATTGACCCTTTCACCATTAAACCACTAGATGTCGCTGGTATCATACAGAACGCTAGAGAAACTGGTGGACGTATTGTTACTGTTGAGGATCATTATGTTGAAGGTATGTGACTTATAAGTTAGGAATATGCCCATTTTAGGTTCATGCATATGGATACTAAATTTTATGAAATTTGTTGAATCAGGAGGAAAAGAACAGATTTAGACGTGTGCTCTAACTTGTGCTTTGATCCCAGGACAGTCAGTGACTCAGGGATGTACCGTTTGGGAAAGCCTTGAACCTTTTGGATATAAGGAGACCCAAGTGTCTATAATGTGCTTCGAGTGTGATCCTTTATCAGTTGCAAATCAAAATAGAAATCAAAATTGATCCCATTGTTCATTGCATGATGTTGCTAGCCTTTATTAGCTCCATAAGATGCAGAAATAAAGAATGAACCTGCAGACAAGGCTGTCAAATTCAAAGCCAAATTTTCTCAATTGCACACTGCATGATGTTCCTAACCTTCATTGATGCAGAAAATTAGGATGAACACCCCCCTCTCTCTCCCATTTTAAGTCCTAATCCTAATTCTCTCTGATCCTCCAGGTGGAATCGGTAGCGCCGTGGCCAGTGGGGTGAGTGAATGCAGGGATATAATCGTGAAGAAACTGGCCGTAAACGACATCCCAAGGAGTGGAAAGGCAGCTGAATTAATCGAGAAATATGGAATTGGAGCTAACAGTATCGTTAAAGCAGTACAACAAATTTTAACTCTATAAATTTAACACATCGTTAAGTTTTTAAATTCCAATTTTGTTATGATTAGCTAGTTATCGCAATTGCTTATTTTAAAGATGTAAAATGGTACCTTGGATGTATCTGTCAAAAATTCAAATGTTTTTTATTTAATCATTAATAAATTTTCTAGAAGTGAAAAAAAGTAGCTGAGATACATTTTTAGAAATAGTTTTTCAAAATACATATAAATATTTTATTGTTTTTTTATGGAATTTCTTCAATTTGATTATTCTGCATTTAAGGAAATGGCATATAAATTTGATATTTGATATTAATGTAGTTGTAGGTGTTTTAATGTTGTAATGTTTGTGGGAAGATATAATAATGATTATATTTGGTTTTTGACAAAATACTTTTATGTTCATCAGTACACTAATTATTGTTATAGGGTATGCAAGGTTTATATAGTCTAATATTCACTCATTAAACTTCATGTCAGTCTAATTTTGTAAATTGGAAATCAACCTGTTGGTTCAAATTGTCGTTTTTGAATAATGTTATTAATTACTGTAATTTGATATTTAGCAATTGAATTTTGTACTGTTGTCAGTAATATACTTCGTTATATTTTACCGTTGGCTAATATGCTTTGCAGTCAGCTAATGCACTTTGCTGTCATCGGCTAATGAACTTTGCTGTCAGCTAATGTAGGCCCTACATTGATGCCAGCTAATATTCTTTACAGTCAGCTAATATACTTAGCTGTCAATTAATATACTTTGCTGCCAGCTGATATACTTTGCTGCCAGCTGATATACTTTGTGGCCAGCTGATATACTTTGTGGCCAGCTGATATACTTTGTGGCCAGCTGATATACTTTGTTCGTAGTAACTCTGTGATTATCTGACTAAGTTCATTACTGTTGAACTGCTTATTTTAATTTGCAAGTGAACAACATTATTCTTGAAAAATGTTATAATTGAGCTCAAATTTTCTAAAATTGTTGTTTATGTATCTGGTTTTTGTTGGTTATTTTTTAAGTTTGTATCAGATGAAGTTTATTTGGGTAATTAAAAGACCAGATTATGAAGATGTATCACCTAGTTTACCAAGTAGACAGTTTCATAATCAATGTAATAATCTTAAATAATACTTAATGAGTTTCTTTGTCAAAACCAACTAGTTTCTTCGTCAAAACCAACTAGTTTCTTCGTCAAACCCTAAAGTTTCTTTTGTCAAACCCAACTGTTTTCCTTGCCAACTTTTGTGAAACCCAAACTAGTTTCTTTTGTCAAACCCAACTAGTTTCTTTGTCAAAACCAAACTAGTTTCTTTATCAAAACCAAACTAGTTTCTATGTCAAACCCAACTAGTTTCTTTGTCAAAACCAACTAGTTTCTTTGTCAAAACCAACTAGTTTCTTTGTCAAAACCAACTAGTTTCTTTGTCAAACCCATGCTAGTTTTTATGTCAAAACCAAACTAGTTTCTATGTCAAACCCATGCTAGTTTTTATGTCAAAACCAAACTAGTTTCTTTGTCAAAACCAAACTAGTTTCTATGTCAAAACCAAACTAGTTTCTTTGTCAAACCCACGCTAGTTTCCATGTCAAAACCAACTAGTTTCTATGTCAAAACCAAACTAGTTTCTTTGTCAAAACCAAACTAGTTTCTTTGTCAAACCCACACTAGTTTCTTTGTCAAAACCAACTAGTTTCTATGTCAAACCCTAAAGTTTCTTTTGTCAAACCCAACTGTTTTCCTTGTCAACTTTTGTCAAACCCAAACTAGTTTCTTTTGTCAAAACCAAACTAGTTTCTTTTGTCAAAACCAAACTAGTTTCTTTTGTCAAAGACGTTTCTTTGTAAAGATCCTATTTCATTGAAAATATCCTAAGAAAAGAATTTGTTAGTTTTGAATATTGAGCAATACCATCCGACAGAATAGATCACAAGCCATTATTGTGAAACCAGGACCCAGTTCCCTAAAAGAATTCATAGCCCTACTCAGTTCAGGTGTGATTCAAACTCATGAGCAAAACTTTCTAAGCAGGTACACACGTTCATAGAATTGCAAGAGCTATTACAAAGTTACAACACTCCTTAAATCATAATGCCATGCAGTCAGGAAGGAGGGAAATTTGCCATGAAGGAGTATATGGAGATGGAAAACAAATTACAATGCTAAAATAAATGAACATTATATTTACATAAAGATACTATTTACAAAACAAACTAGGAATATTTACTAGTAGTTTCATGATGGGTGAGGAAAACATCCAGAGACATTTTAAAACCTGAACACACAGAATAATCAAAGAAAGATATTGATGGACTTCCAAGGACTATTCAAAACACAAACAGTCAATGTTATTTTGCAGTAGACTAATTGTACACATACTTATTACTTATCTAACCTGATTTACTTCAGATCACACCCAATGTACATGATTATCTTTGCTACTGTCATTACACCAGTATTAACACTGTATCGCTGCACCATCTAACTTAGCCTCTAGCCCAACTCCAGACCCAGAGAAACCAGAAGCTCCCCTCTGTAAATAAATAATATCTTTATCTTGAAGCTTTTCACCATTGATGGGATCCAACATGTCTTTTCTGATGAGCTTTTCAACACAGTCCACTGTCACTACACATCCTGATGGTCTTAAAACAGCACATGGAACCGAATTTCCCAATACATCATTAGTGACCGCGCACACATATCGTGCAGTTTTTGTAATCAATGCTGTTTTGGTGTCGCCATCTTTAATTTCTGTAAATTTAACAGGTATCAAATCCTTCATTTTGATTGGCTTTTCACTCATCGGACATCTGACCTTTTCGTCTGGTTTTTTAACCTTTGTAGGTTCAGCAGACGGCGTGAGATTTGGTATCCAGAAACTGGGTAATACTTTCTCTTTGCCATTTTTCATATTACACAGACTGCTAGTACTTGGTTTACTTTCTTCGCTTTTATTACCGACTCCAACGATCGGATTGGTTTCTCTATCTATGAATTTCTGTGTGTTCTTAGCAGTTTCTGCATCAATTAGGCTTTGGTCATCCTTTTGTGCTTTCTCTTTCTGTTTCTCAAACGCTTTCATCTGCCTTGCAATTTCCCTTTTCTTATGAATGATGTATTCCAAGATGGCTTCCTTATCATACAAATACCCTTGTGGCGTAACAACTGGATTTTTGCAGGGTTGTAAAGTCAAACAACAGCAATCAAATTCTTTAACAGAATCTTTGCCGAATCGAACCTCTTTGCTTCCATAACCGGAAGCGTTTGTATCTTTCTTACGCTCATGGTAGGTGTAAACAGTTCCTGCTGTACTGTTTCTTGCGTGACGAGTCATCTTAGCCTTTCAGTTCCAGTCTCTTTAAACAGTCCGTTTAATCTGAAATAAAAAGAAGTATGTACAATTAAAAACAAGTGAGCCTGTGTCGAAGGCTAACTGGAAGCTTTTTTTGTAACACATTATCTATTGTAATAAGACTATTCCTTTGAATGTAGGCCTATTCCGCTTTGATCTATGGTGGACTTGTCTTGAGTTCAGTTGAGTTGAGTTTGAGTCAAGTTTTGAGAGTTTCACAAAGAAAAGACCTCTAAAAACCCAGTATATTTGATGAATTATTGAGTTCAACATTCAACTCTTCCTAAGGAGTATGTCCCAGTTGCAAATATCTGCCTAATCCCCTTTAAAAGCTGGAATAACGTGTTTTTCTTACAAATTGTTTTCTTCAGTCTTGTTTTATCAACAGGAAGTAGATTTTTTGATAACCTTGACCTTCAAAATCGTCCATATCCTATGCCTATAGGTCATTTCGGACAATTAACGATTTTGACTTCTTGAATCCTCACTATTTTCGACAGTTCGTTGATTTTACAACTTTTCTACGTTTTGATTGCGAATTTGTGTATATATGTACATGTATTGTGTATTGTAGTTGTTTTTGAAGGTTTTCCAACAAAAGGTGTACGAAATGGCATGCCAATTCAACTTCCGGTTAAATGACCTTGAAGTTAAAAACCAAAAGTAGAGCACATGTAAACATAAAAATTGTTCGTCTGTAATTACTTCATGGTTGCTGTCAACAGATTCTGAATAGACGTGACTTCTTGTATTTCCCTCTATAATAGATTGTCAACTGTTCCACTTCCTATCTGAAGGAAGTGTCAGGAATATCTTGGCTAACTCGCCTGTTGAAGCTGTTGCGGCTGGAAGGATCTGCTCTACCCTGCTCTGCTCTGCTCTGGCTCTACTTGGCTTCTCTTCTTAAGACACCGACCGAGCATTGGGCACTGATAGTGAAAGCTCTACAACTTCTAAGCCAACATCTTGTTTTCCCTAAACCCTTCCAAAACTCAAATCAAAAGTCATGTACTTGTGGCAATAAGGTGTTAATGTTAAAGAAATCAACCCATCTCCTAGCCCAGCTAAGCATTGATTAAAATGTTTTTGCTGAATAAATTGAGAGCAAAAGCTGAATCCTTTGATTCGTTAACAAAGCCAAAAACAGTTGTAACAGAACGTGAGATATATGAATATTTGAGTCAAGAAAATGGGATGATTCGCTTGAAAAGAGCTTTTGACAAAAGGTAAGCACTAGTCTTCTAGAACAGTGCTGTTTTCGCCGGAGACCATTTTACCACATATTGTTTGTTTCAAAATGACATTGGTACAGTAAAGAATACAATACAAAAATTAGGTATTAGTGGGTGAAAGCTGACACCGGGCTGACTCTAGGAAGCACTGACACAGGCATCAAAATTGTTCTTACCTTGAGGAAGATTCGACCCACGGCACCTAATTGCCTTGCAGACAACAATCCAACTCGCTACTTACTGAGCTATTCCACTGCCACAATAAGACAGCACTCTAACCCAGCGTTAGAGGTTTATGGTAGGTTTATGTAGGCCTATGTGTGTTTTCACTTTTAAATGAAGCCTATTTAAAAACAATTTTGATATTTTTCAGTAATGGTGAACTAAGTCCAGAATTAAATTTCTATTTTGAAAATTACGCCAATCAAAGTTCAGCTAAAGCTATATTCTTTGTTTCATCTTTGTATGCCTACAACAAAAATAAGAAACTTATTCCACCAAACTTGCCAAAGGTTGGTAATTTTCTCATTTTTTAAAAAGAATTTTGGAATGATTTCAAGACAGGCTTTCCCTTGGAAATATTTATATCATTAAGAACAGTGGCATAGGGTTGAATCCAGGACAGACATCTACTAAACATCCCTCAACCATAAATGAACTCACCAACACATGTGCTTTTACTATGAATAAGATACAATGTTAGAAGAATTCATTTTGCTAAATCAGGGTGGATTTTCTTTACCAGTCAAATCATTCCTTGGTTGAATCCAATTTGCAATTTTTTTTCATATATGTATTGCCAAGTAGGCCTACTATTCTATTAAACATCAATTTTTATCATATTTTATGAAATTTTTTCAGAAGGAACAGTTCAAGACAATAATTAAGAATAGCTTGAAGGATTCTGTTTTGATTTCAGTCCGATATTTTTCACTCCTTGCCCTCAGTTTGTAAGTATCTGTAATTTGATTGGTTAATAAAGCTAATTTTTAAATTGCTTATACTAATTTGACCAATCAGATGACTGGAACTATAGAATCATTTTAAGTTAAGAAAAGCACTAAACTGATTGGTTGATAACATTGAATTTCAAATTGTGTTTAATGTTTGACCAATCAAATTACTGGAAAATTAAAATCATCTGCAAGTATTCCAGTCCACTTCCTATGTTAATGGGTATGAATAATACAGGAAAGATCAATACCAAGATGTTATAAAGGATCCTCAAGAACCTACATAACATTGTTGTCCCTGTAAAATATAGTTGTTTTCTGTAATGGGTATGGATAATCTGGAAATGACTGATACCAAGAGTTTTGTCCAAGGACTAGCTGGTAGAAACAATGCTCATGAACTGAAGTTGTTATCGTGGACAAATAATGCAGGAAAGATGGTAATGGATATTCTGGCAAGACGTTTGACCATGAACCAGCTGTTAAACAGATCCTTGAGAACCTCTAAGAAGTATACTTATTTTCCATATATTTTATTTTCCAGTGGCATCACAGAAACTATCGGTGTTTATAGAAACAAAACTTCACCTTTAGAATTTGTTTTTGTTTGTGGTAAGTATTATTTTCCTCCATTTTGAATCTGAAGATAGTTTTCTTTCCTAAAGGAAATGCTTTCACCTATTCCTTGCAAACATATTAATAAAAAATCATAATTTAGCCCTTTCATGCACTGGCATGCTCAGACAACTTAGCTAGATCTGTCTGTGTCCCTACTGAAGTTTGACAAGTAGAGATGTTCAGACAACTGATCTATTTCAGCCTGTGTCACTACTGAAGTTTGACAAGTAGTGATCTTCAGATAGCTGATCTATTTCAGCCTGTATCCCTACTGAAGTTTGACAAGTAGAGATCTTCAGACAACTGATCTATTTCAGCCTGTGTCACTACTGAAGTTTGACAAGTAGTGATCTTCAGATAGCTGATCTATTTCAGCCTGTATCCCTACTGAAGTTTGACAAGTAGAGATCTTCAGACAACTGATCTATTTCAGCCTGTGTCCCTACTGAAGTTTGACAAGTAGAGATCTTCAGATATAAATGGTCTATTTTTGCAACCAACAATCTTTCCCTTTCATTGTTATTTAGGTTTGATGTCTGGTATAGTCAGTGGCTTGCAGTATGAAGCTAAGCCTCCCGAATTACCAAAAGTTATAGCAAACAAGATGCAAGTGCCTTTGAAGCCTATAACTCGTATGGTTGCTATTAGAAACGGTATTTTAAATGGTGCTTTTATGGGGTAAGTGTCTTCATTGTATTTCAACTCTTGTCTCTGATCAGTAGACTATTTTTAAACCCCTTTTTTCTCACTAAGCAAGAATGAATTCAGAGCCTCAGTGAACTATTTGTAAACCATGCCCTTTTTATACGCCCACATCTCTCTATGTGGACGTATACTGTCGGTCTGTCTGTCAACATTTGCTTGTAAACGCTCTAATAACTAGCTTTTTTGATGGAATCAAATGAAATTCGGTATGTGTTGAGCTATTTTCGACAGTTAGAAGCCCTTGCCCCAAAATCTTCTTTATTTACCATCCGCATGCCGTGGTGGGTGTGTATGGCTGTGGTCTACTATCTTTTAGTTTGAGATAGAAAAAAGTTCTCATTTAGCTAGGATAAATTCTGAGCTCTTTTTTACAAAAATCTTAAAGGCCAGCAAACACTGAATGTTCTTTTGATAGAATGTAACAGAATGTATCTGGATATGTAGTTACATAAGTTGAATTTTTATCACAACTCAAGCCTCAAGCCAACTTCTACAGTGTTATCATAAATTTGTAGTGAGCACATGATACGATACGGCCCAGAACAATAAAATGAAATACTCCATTTATTACATTTTGTAATTATATTACAGATTATTATTTGGTGTTATGTTTACGTACGTGGCAGGAATAACTGGTACGTCTCAAGAAAATAGACATTTCTGGAATGTTCAGACTAAATTACGTGAGCAAAAGTAAGTGTAAGAAAATAATCGTTTCTCCATGGCAGGAAAACAAATACCATCTTTAACCACTGCAAAGGAAAGGCTGAGTTGACAAACCATTGAATCATTAACCATGCTTTGGTACTATTCAATTGAAGCTAGAATTTGTACAGAACTAACCAATCCAGCACTACCAAAATGTTTTGTCATTTTAAAGTTTGTTCATGTTCTCTTACTATTGTCGACAAGTAAACATGCAAATATCAATTTTAGCAGATTACTGTAAGATTGACTCAAACCCTAATGCCTGTGGCGGTGCTTTTGTAACATTACTTAAAAACAATGTTACGACCTAAAATTCCTAATATGAATGAATGTGTTTTTCAGAGAGAAGGAGTTAGCATTGAATCTTGGTGCCGCCAGAAACGAGGAACTATTGTAAATGAAGGGCCAACACTCCTAGAGTAGCCATCTTGGTAACCAAGGAGATGACTGACCAGCTGATCCAAGTGGCTTTAATTTGATTGGGTGAAATGAATGTGTTTTGATGGTTTAGACAACAAGGCAAGGATTTTTTGCAGTTGAACATGAATTTTGACAATTTGTTCATTGTTACATAATTTTGGGGTATGGGGTATTGCCTCCATGTAACTAAGGCCACATTGACCGCTTTTTGGGTGAGAATTATGACTGTGAGGAGGCCAATGTCATGGCAACATACCTGAAACATATACGTATAGTTTGATTTGAGTGAACTATATTTTGGTTAAACAATAATCAATTTTTTTAAAGATTTGGTTTGGTTTCTTGAAAAGGAAAATATTCAGGGCTCAATTCCGGCATAGTTTGAGTTTATACCTTCAGATTTTTTAATCCGCTTCACCCTGTCAGTGTTGCAGGTCGGAGGGGCCTATCGCAACACATCGATTCACCATTATATCGTACCAGAACTAGCAATTACAGACAATCTGTGGGTTTAAAAACATAACTCTATTTGTCAAAAGTTGTATTTAATGAATACAGTAAAAAATGCAATGATATTTAAATAATCAGTAAAAAATGTTAAAAAAAAAATATAAAAAGCAACACTAACAATGATATCATTATGCTCAAATTTATCACAAAATTCTAAAAAATATACTTCACAATCTCCAGGTTTTGCCGATCTTTTGGGGGGAAAATTCTTAAGATAAGGCTTAAATGACATCAACACTAGACAATGCACAAGAGTGGATTGCTCCCTTTCTGAGATATATGACCCAGAGTTGAGTGATGTCTATTGCTCTTAAGCTAGCAAAAGCATAAGCATCCAAGTGAACCACTCTCTCAGATGTAACCCAGAGTTAGGTGATGTCTGATTGTTCTAACACTGACAATAGTACAACAGTAGACCACTCCAGGTAAGATAACCCAGAACGAGTGATGTCTGGTGTTTCTATAAACAGACAATTTTACAACAGTGAACCACACTCTATTATATAACCCAGAGTTAGGTGCCATCATTTTTCACTATGAATTTCTTTGCTAATTGTGTTAATGCAAATCTTGCAAAACCTGACATTGTGAAAATAAATACACATAAAAAGTTTGTTACATTTACCACCAACGGTGTTCACATAATGCAAACGTTTTATACACTATTGCTGGACGACATGAAGTTGATATGTACAATGAGCATAAAAATAACTTATAAAACTTTCAGATCTTGTAAGTACAGGGCAATAATAAAAATACAAAAGTCTCGTTTTCAAAGTTTTTTTTAGATTTTGTAAGTACAGGAGCCATAAAAAAAAATACAAAAGTCTCCTTTTCATGTGCAAAAGGAACTGAAGACAAATTCTTGAAAGTTTTTTTTGGCTAAAAATATAAAGCTTTTTTCAGATCTTTTAAGTATAGGGCAGTAATAAAAATATAAAAGTCACATCCTCATGTACAAAAGGATAGCAGACGTGCTCGTATGAGATTCTATTAGACATAAATCTGCATCAACAATTAATATCAGTATAAATAAGAAAGTTTGATCCTCAAGTACAGTGAAAATAAAGCAATTCTCATTGGTCTACAGACTAGTTTCCATAGCTGATTCGACCAATCAAATGCGATGTACCAAAGCATATAGTTATACCAATGAAGCATGACAAAGCATATTTTAGCAGCAAGGGTCAAGGACACAAGTTCACATTAATTTACAATAAGGTATTAAATATACAGCGTGCTATGTACAGAGGGGTGTTTTAAACCGACAAGGCTGGATTTCACTCTATAGTGGACAAAACACCCCTTATTTTGTAAATGAACTCTTTTAAACATGTGAGAGCCTTTAAGTAGCTATAATGAAAATGCATTAGCGGAAAAGTCCACTATCAGACTAGGTATTCAACTACTGTTTCACTTAATAGTCAATGATTAGTTCTGTTAAGTATTTTGGGGTAATTTTTACTATTCTAAATTTTAATCATAAAGCCTAAAAGTTGCTTTAAAAGCCTATAAAAATAATGGATAAAAAGTAAAAAGTTACTAAAGACAAAACCTGAAACATATGTTCAGAGGTAGCTTCCTCAAATTGTAAAAAAAAAAAAATCATGTAAAAAATTTTGATGACATTTTGAAATTTAAAAAATAAAATTTTGATTCACAAAAATGGTGACTAAAAATAAACTTTTCAACACATAAAAATATAAAATTGAAATATAAAACATTACAAAATAACTAAATGAAATTGAGTTTTTTAAGTGTATTTCATGCTAAGTGCTAGGTAATTGCACTTTCCTCATTTAAAAAATGTCTGCCTATTATGTGCTAGATAATTAATATTAACATTGTCATTTGTTCAGCTTTCATTATAATATCTAAGTAGTTATTATGCACTTTAAATTTTTGGTTCCAAGAATTTTGGCAAGAAACACAAAATAAGTAGTAAAAATTCAAATCATTTTTGGTATTTCCCTTTTTCTTTGGCACTTTAACGATGACGTCTTCTGATCGAGTTGTTTTTCTGGATTCCATTTTATCTTTGGGATTATCTCCTTCCATTTTTGGCAAAATGTATTATTTTTTATACAAATTATGATAATACAAAAATTGATCTGGATAATATCTTACAGTAGATATGGCTGCAAATTTGACGTTTAAAATGTTTTATTTGTCAGTCATGTCTGACTCGGATTGAATAGAAATGAGCATGAAGTTTCTTGTTGTGACGTGTACATATGTACAAAAGACATAACTTGATTGACCAACTACACCAGTCAAGAAAATTTCTATGGCACAAAAATCAGATATTAAAAAACAACCAATCAATTTCAAAGTTGAAGGTCACGTGTGCTGTGCAAATAAATGAGTTCCCTTTTCCACAAAATCGACTAACCATATTTTGCTAATCTGGCAACACAGCAATATTAGTGAGAGCTAATCAACCAATCATTTCTATCAACTATTTCGTTGGCACTTCAAAGTTCAAAGGTGAAATGCACTATGCGTCAACAAAATCTTATAGCACAAATTCTTCCAATCATTTCCAAGTATTCCATTGAGTTCAAAGGTCAAATCCCATATATGCACTAAGCATCAACAAAATCTGTTAGCACAAAATTCAACCAATCATTTCCAAGTATTCAGTTGATCCACCGATTTCGACAGAGTTCAGCAAAGGTCGAGTATCATCGCTGCTGGAAGTTTTATCCTCGGAACTTATTAATGTTTGTAATTCAGAGTCTATTTGGGAGAAAGTTGGTCGTTCATTAGGAGCTTGACTCCAGCACTTTAACATTATATCATAACTAAAATAGAGAATAGAATTAATTAGAACTCAATTGCAGAGATGTGCTTTGGATAAAAAATCCTCTTCAGGACATTTGATAGTCCATGAAAGAGTAATGCCAAGATGTCTGACCATGGACCAGTTGGTACAAAGGATCCTCGTGAACCTAAGTTGTTGAAAAGAGTTCATCTCATGCTCGAGACAAGCTTCGATTATGTAATCCTCATCTGGTTTGAAACATCAGTCTCTTAAGTCCAGTTTTGGACTGATTTGGAATCCAGTTATGCCACAACCAACGCTTCCAAGAGTTGGGATTTGAAGATTTGAACCATAAAAAGAAAGAGTACTTACATAGGTTGTGTACATTGTTTAGGTTTCTTCATTCTTTTACCATCATCTAAATACTGAACTAAATCATTACTGTCTACATCAGGATAGGGAGTTACTCCCCTTGTCAATAATTCCCATAATACAACACCATACGCCCACTGGAATGGAAGGTACAATGATTTAGATCACATAATCAACAGAGACTTGTTTGTTGGGATGGGCATTGGTCAGAAAAGACAGGGCTTTGTACTTTTAGGGTAGAGGCATTCCTGACCCTTTGGACATCATAATTTTTGATGGATGTAGCAAAGGAAATTTGATCGTTAACATTGGGTATTATTTGCTTGGTTACATTGAACAAATGGTGGTTGTGGGGTCGTGTGAAAGTCTTTCTATCCATGGAATTAGCCACAAGTATTCAACGGAAAATTTCTCTACTTACCACATCTGATTTGTGAGAGAAGACGAAGTTTTCAATGGTTTCTGGTGCCAGCCATTTCATAAGTGATTTGCCGACACTATCAGTTGATGTATAATAGTCTTTATTAAATAATGTTTTAGTTATACCACAATCAGTGAGCTGGATCTTCTTATCTTCACTTACACTAGAAATATTTTACAAATTTATCAGGGAAATTTATTAAAATGAGGCAACATCATGCTGTGTGCAATGAGTGAAATTTTGCCAAGACAGCAGCATTAGCCTCCTTTTCTTCTTATCTTCACTTACACTAGAAATATCAGGAAAATTTATAAAAAATGGCGTTTTACACCCTCTATTTCTGCACCTGACTGAGGCAACACCATGCAGTGTGCAATGAGTGAAATTTTGCCAAGACAGCAGCATTAACCTCCTTTTCATTTTCCTACTGTTGAGGGATCTTTAATTGTGCATTGCCTGTATATCACAGAACCCACATCTTAGTTTCTCAAATGTCTATATGCTTTGAGACCAATTTTGACCCGTCCTGTCAATGACTGTTTATCCAGAACACATTTGGGATGAGTTGTTGAGTTGATACTTACATACAATTTCTAGCAGCTAAGTTTCTGTGTATGACTTTAACATCCTCTAAATAGACCATACCTTTAACTATCTGACTGGCGAAATCTAATAATTCCAATACTGTTAAATTCTGGAATTATACAGAGTTTTACTTAGTTGCCTTGCAGTGTGCGATGAGGGAAATAACATATTGCCTTGACAGCAAAATCCAAAATAACTGTTTGAAGATGTAACTAATTGCAATTATGCTTGTATCACATAGGACCTTTACGATTTATGACATCATGAAACCCTTAGTTTTAGTGGAATTGCAGGAACCACAGACGTCTAATTGAAAATTGGAATGGTACAAATTGATGCTCTCAGTGTTCCTGATACATATAAAAAATTTAGATAAACTCTTTACGATCCCTTTAAGCTAAAAAAAGTAAACATATCTTCATATCCAACTCTGAGTTACCCACCTTTGATGGTTCTCTAATGTAACTTTTGAGATCTTCTGTTGCCATGAAGGGCATGATAATTAAGGGGTCGTCGCTAACGGTGACACAGACACCAACTAACGGCAGAATATTTGGATGTTGTAAATCTTTTAAAACCACCGTGTCTTGTAAAAATGTCTGGATTGTTTCGCTGTCATTTCCTTTACCTGAAACGCAAATCAGAAACAGATGGATGAACAAAATTGGCGGGCAAACAAAGCTTGCGTGTTCTACTTGCCTGAACTGAATGAAGTATTGGAAACTGGCAACACCATGTAGTGTGCAATGAGGGAAATATTGCTAAGAAAAGTGCAATAGTCAACTCTTCTTCAATTTCAAACCGTCAAAGAAACTTGAATTGCAAACAGTAGTATTTAGGGATATGAGAAAGGTTTCATGTTATTGTTTCTGGTCAGATAGAGGTTGAGCGTGATTGGAACAGATTCCAACTGCCCTCAATCCAATGGTACCGAAGTGGAATGTGTCACATTCAAAATGTTTCCATCTATTTCTACTCTGCCATTTTGAATTCTGTCTTCACCTACTATCTTTTTGGCACATGGAACGTGTTCGGAACTCTGTTCCAACATGTTGCTTCGGTTGTTTCCAAGAATCGTGCGACCCCTAGCACAATAAAAAGGGAAATAACTCACATTGTAAAGTTTTAACTGCTACTTGAACTTGCTTTTCATCTGGTGATCTTTGATACTGGGCTTTATATACTGCTCCGAAATTACCTTTTCCTATCAACTCTCCTACGTCTAATTTACTGCGTGGAACCAGTAAAGCTGTAATATTCTGTCTGACAGCAGCATCTTCAAATTTGGATAATAACTCACTGATATATGGGCCAGAATCTATCAAAATATAAATATAATCATTGAAAATATTAATAGACATAGTTTTCCAATATAAAAAAATAAAAAATTAGGCCTAGGATGGAACAGATGGATTGAGATATCATAGAAAGTGATTTTGTGGCTTCAATTTCAGGGAAGGGGGTGTTTTACTTCCCTAAAATGTACAGGTATGGAGGTAACAGGTACTTCATTTAGAAATTGGAAGAAGAGCTATCTGCAATGAATCTGGATTTAGGGGGAGGTAATGTTTTACTTCTCCAATATGTACAGATCTAGGTTCGAACTGATACTTCATTAAGAAATTGGACGAAAAGTTTTCTTGTGGTTCCCATTTGCTAGATGGTTTTTCTTCTGTTAATTTTTAGACTTACCTTTATCCTCTATCAAACCATTCATATCAGCTTTCACTGAGACATGATTCAACCCAATTTCTTCCTCTTCCTTCTGTCCCTCATAATCCTTCAATACATCTGGTATATAACTATCACTCGGCCCGTGTTTACGGTGTTTTTTAATGACACAGAAAGCTAGCAATGCTATAATAGCTATGATGGGTAGAACTACGCCTAGTATGATCCCCAGAGCTATTGGTTTCTCGTTGTTTTCAACCTCGTAATATTGTAAATATCCTACATCTTCTTTTAGATTTCCAATCTGCAGCTGTAAATGAAATGAAATGAAAGTCCATGTAGTGTGCAATGAGGGGAATTTTGCTTAAATAGCAACATAAGCCTACTATTTTTCGCTTTTAAAATGAGGTACTTAAACTCTTGAGCACTGAGTGTGAATAAAATGCCATATACTGGGAAATACAAGTAATATAACTTGAAGTGTATGACGTTAACATTATGTGATGTCACTTGGTTACGTCTGCATCACCAGCTGCTCAGGTGTATATCACCTAATTATATGACCAGTAGAGCTGTAACTGGTATTGAATGGACTGACAAAACAAGCTATAATATATCAGACACAAGTTTGATTCAGTTCAGCACTGAAACAAACAGGCACCCACCCTTTAATGGACCATGATATACTAAGATTTATTACCTGTACAACTGCCTTGCCGTTATCAATATCTACAGGTTTTACAGGGGGTTCACAAGTAATAGCGGAGTCGGTCGAGGCTGTGTTAATACATTCTTCAGATCCTACATACACCACTACGTTAGACATTAACGGATTTACGCTGCGGAATTGACCCTGAAAAATATTAATACAACTTCAATATAGGCTACCAATGATTTTGATCAAGGAACTTTACTATTGAAACTTATTTTGTTAAAGTCCATCTCATGCTGCTGACATGTGTCAGATACGCAATCCTCATCAGGACAACTAGTTATGGACCAGTAGGAAAAACAAGAATATTATTTGGTACATGACCCCAGTAAAGCTAAGTTTGTTATTAGAAGTCTTGGATTTGAATCTTCCTCAAAAATTCTGATTCCATGGTTTGTGCTTTCAAGAGTCTGTCCAATGTCTGTCACCTGTTTAAACTTATTGAAAATATAACACGTAAAATATCTTAAACATAAAAACAATACCTGAATAGACAGAAGATCATCTTTGTTATACTTCTTAGTAGAATCATCTCCGTTAAACTTATAAATACTCGGATCAGGGAAATACAACATGGGACCGAACGCTGGCTGATGGGATATATTACGTAATGAATCAACTTGATCCATATCAAACCCATAATGCACCTCAAGAGGGTTGGTATCGGTTACGTTAACTCCCATTGCGTTAATACCAGGTACTGTACAGTATAACATTAACTCGTTCTGTTTGCTGCAGGGCTGTAAAAAAATATTAATTTCAATAGCTACGTGGACTCTAAATTAAAGAAGAAAGCAAAGCATTCTAACCTTTTTTGTGGAAATCTTCATAAAAAAAGGTACTATTAGTGCTTACCCATTTAAAGATGACAAATATAGTTATCCACCATCAATATTTCTTTCAAGCATTCTAAATTCTTTATGGAATTAACTCTTCTCAAATTTGATTTTTTTTTTACGGAAGTAACTTTTTCAAAATTTACAATACACTTACCTTGGTGTATATTTTGCCACCGTACGTTGTAAAGAATTTAGGTTCTTGTATCATATTAAGATGAGTACCAACTACTGTTATAGTTGTACCACCACTGAAATAAAATATCACAAAATTAGAAATATATTTAGATTCGTTAATATTCAAAAGTCAATGACACTCAAATTATTTTCTCTTAAATGCAGGAAAATAACAAGAAATTCATCTGAACTTTTCTGTCTCCTTGCTAAAGAAGCATCACCATGCAGTGTGCAATGCAGGAAACTTTGTCATCAACAATCAATATAACAGAAATGAAATGAATGGAGTTTTAGGTCCTACTTTTCTGCACCATGTGGGCTAATGAAGACAGGCAACGTCATGCAGGGTGCAATTAGGGAAATTTTGCCAGGACAGCAGCATTACCCTACTCTTTTTCGATTTCCAACTGTCGAGGGATCTTTAACATGTACAGCCTGTAGCACACGGGGCCTCGTTTTATTGTCTCATCTGAACGACTAGACGCTTTTTCCATGTCAGCCCCTCATACCTGCATCACTGACAGGGGGAAACCAGGTTGAAAAATCCAAAGGTATTATCTCGACCTATGCCGGGATTGAACCCCGGACCTTCAGGTTAGCGAGCAAGCGTCTAACTCACTGATTGGCCGCAGCTCCCTCAATATAACAGAGAAACAATCCCCATCAATGATAAAATCAATGAAAATGCAAAATCCTGTTCTTACCTGAGAATACTTCTCTTGGGTTCTATCATGGTTATAGTGGGGTCTTTAGTATAGGTAAAAATACCAGGAACTTTTTTACGGTAACCGCCAAAATTAACTTCAATATTCACAGACTTCCTACTGGTGGATTTCTTCGGTGTTTTAAATTCTATGGTCGTCATGTTGGACCTAAAAATAGGCATTAGTTTAAAATTCAATTGGAATTTCTACCTCAGAATGAACATAACTTTTTTGAATAATTACTTTGTTTTTATGGATTTATTAGATTATTATAGGGATTCTGTTGTACAATAACGACACTATGTACCTTATTCAAGTTTTTCAAGAAGAACAGGAACCACAGACATCAGACAGACAAATATGACCCTAATACACACACATTTAATCTTAAATATATCCTTACTTTATGACTGGTACAGAGTTTCCACCAACTATAACTTGAGTATCACTACCAACATCTAGATTATTCCCCTTGATTAGAACTCTTGTACCTCCAGACATCAGACCTTGTTTAGGATCAACATGGTTTAATACTGGATCCTATAATGTAACATCGATATTTAAAAAAAACACTTATATGTCTCATGATTTCTACCATTTGTTATTATCTTGGGGCTCCCCTTTTTCCATAGATGTCTAGAATGACCAAAATGGATACAAATAATGAATGGAACACAATATGAGTATATCTGTATTAAAGGAACACTTACCACAAATTCAAAGACTGTATCTGATTCAGCAGTATATTTATTATTGACTACAACTTTCACTGTCCCAGATTTAGCAGACGTCACCCCTTTTACTTCACATTTAAAACTGAAAATTTAAAACAAAAATCTGTATAAATTTGACTAAATAATGATTACTCTTTCAAATCAGTTATTTTTGGCTATTCCATATTGCTTAAGCTCATTTTATAAATGCATGTCTCTGATACACAATCTTCATCAGGACAATTACTTTTGAAAATTAAGGTTAAATTTCCGCACTTAAAGCCAAGACACAAACATTTAAAATCAAAAGTATGATATTGTAAAAATGTCATTACCTTGACGATGGTTCATAGTGCTCTTGCATGACATCACATGGTAACCCGGCAACAGTCACCTGACCTAAAATATCTGAGATCTCTTTTCCCAGGTTTATTCCGTTGACCTGAATTTCTGTTTTACCCTTGACAGGTCCTTTACTAGGACTATACTGTAAATAACAATCACAAAATACTGTGATATTCAAAATCAATGATATTTTTGACTCTCTTGAATGATGGACTGTCGTCTCTTTGGTAAATAGAATCTTTAGTGGTTAAATTAGATAGATGCTAAATTGACAAACCCCTGATGTCATAAACAGTTTTAGCCATGTGGACTCTCTGAAAAGGTCGACAAATTATCAAATCACTGATATGCGATAACCAAAATAGTGAAATCTTCAAAAGGAATCCAGAGTTCACAAACCCATTCTGAGTGGCTTCAAGTGTTATTCAATAGATCTACTTACCCTCAGTATCTGTGGATTAGGACAAGTTTCAGACTGATCTAGCCAGGATTTCTGACATTTCTTCTGTAAGGAGCATTGATCCTCACACCATCCACATTCATACTCTACGTCTAGACTGAGACATTTACCACAGTTGGTTACCATGGACGCACATTTATAGATCCGCACTGAAAATAAAGTTCACCAAAATATTAAAAATGATAGATTCTATGGAACTTTTCATAAAATTGGAGTTGTGCATCTCAACTCTAGAGTTGTATCCAATGAGCGAAATTTTGCTAGAACAGGGTTGCCAATTTAAGTACCTCAATGAATACAATTTTGCCAGGGCTTTTGGTCTTTTTACTCACTACATTAAGTCCTTTCTGGATCACAGATATATGCAAGGATCAAATTTAGATTTCATGACTCACAAATTTGAAAGTGCTATGACCATGTACGTGGGTTTGTTACCAAGGGCCACCCTGTTGAGCCATCAAAACTTATGAACATTATTCTAATAATATCAATACCTACCATTCATTCGTTGTGGGTTATCTAACGGATGATTTTGTTGACCCCAAGTGACCTTGAACCCTGCTACTATGTATGGTATATCGTCAGCATACGCTAACTGAAAGCAAAATTCATAATACATGAAAATAGTAAAGCCTACTTAAGTCTCTCCAACAGAATTGACAGTAACAAGCCCCTCCATTTGAAGAAAATACTGTTATCTTATTGGCTAATAAATTTAAATTTAACCTCTATTTCAGTTATCGACCAATCAGAACAAGGGAAACCTGCCACAGAAATTGACCTTACCTTGATTGTCTCGCAGGTTAGAGTTGAAGAAGATATTTTAGCAGACACGGTCTGGACCTGACCAGAAAGATCAAAATGGCATTTTAAATTGGATCTCTGATTTGCCTGAAAAAATACAAGAAAATAATTCGGTAAGTTACGCATGAAACTAATTAGTTATCGAACATTGACTTATATCGTCCATTTCTAAGATTTTGATTGGTTAGAAGATATTATAGCTCAGTCAGAATAGAGTTGGATCATTGTCTTCAAGTGATTAGGTGCAATTCTTTTATGCCATGCAATTCGGTGCCGTGGAATCAAATCCTCCTGAAGGAGACAAATTGTCTGATGCCATGGAAAATGCTCTGAACAGTCTGCAACCTTTTAACCCCTATACCCATTGGTCCAAGATGCAATTTCATTGAAGAATGAGTCAGAAACCCACAGAAAATAATGGAAACAAAATCACATCTGTATGTAATTAATATTGTATACTATCAATCACTAGTTCAGATTATGAAAAATTGACAGAGTTACTGCCCCTGAATGTATGCTTACCTCCAGAGCTCGAACCTGGACAGAAATTGTTTTTAATTCACCAGAATGCACTAAAATATCTGTATCTGATGCTGCAGTTTCTAATCTCGGACAGCGGTCATTGACCTTTATACTGTCTCCCTGAAAAAGAAAATAATTTGAAACTGTCAAAACAAAAGATACGATTGTAGATTTCAGATTAAAAGTAACGAAAAAACTCATGTGTTCAGAGAGAGTTGAAATCCCACCCCCTTAACCTCACTAAACACCAAGCTGAACCTGTACTAACAACATCCTTTATCTATAACTTAGCTGAAACCCCGTACCCTTCCCCATACCCTTTCCCCCTTCCCCATACCCTTTCCCTCTTCCCCATACCCTTTCCCTCTTCCCCATACCCTTTTCCTCTTCCCTCACTCAACCCCATACCCTTTACTCCTCATCCTACACCCTCCTATCTAGATATTTAAATTGTTTACCTGTGGGCAGGATTCTGATTGTTCAACACAAGAATGAGATACAGGACACCAGTGACAGTTAAACTGACTAGTACTACAACTTGTACAGCTGAAAAGAAAGGTTTAAAAATTAATCAACTACAAATATATTGATGATATTTACTTTGATGTAGACATAAATGATAAAAGACAATATATAAACACGTAGGGGGACATAACAAACATAAACACACAGATGAATGGATGATGATAACAAGATAGCCGTCGAATACTCATATTCATATTCATAGATTGAGCCATCCTTTCGTATCTTATATCTACTTCTGCTATACATGCAGAGCTAGGATCTTTATACTGAATTAACTTCCGGTACATAGTCACTTATTAATGTTCACAATGTACAGCCTGTATTACACAGGGTCTTGGTTATTGTCCCATCCAAACGTGTAAAGGATTTCATACATTCAACATTCATTACTGGTGAGCGTAAAAATGGCAGACTTTGAGACAGGGAACACTATGCAGTGTGCAATTAACTTTGGTTTTTCAATGATTGTCAAATTTTAGAGATCATTGTGGCAAATAAAATATTAATTTCAAAACTCACTTATTGTTGCCTTGACAGTCAAACACTGATACATCACGTTTTACTATCATCTTTCCTTCAACATGGAACTGAAGTTCTAAATCTTCATGATCTATAGAATAAACAGTGAAACAATCAATTATTCAAGGTTCTTAAGTCCCCTAAATTCTAGTCAAATCCAACCAGCGCCACAATAATCAAAAGGTTTATTCCTCTTGAGACATAAGTGCCATGCTGTGGCAAGATGGAGTAATTTTCAATTGATATCTTGTGCTTCGAATGGGGGAATGGGGCTCATTGGTGTCAAATCAGCAAATATCTTGGAATCATAATGGGCACTTCATAGCATATCAAACTACAAAAATATGATTATCAATAATGCCATGCTGTACCAAATTACATGTTACAAGTTGTGTTCAGGATAACAGTGTTAAAATACAGAAGTGAGTACATGCTATTAAATAGCGTCATGTCGTACCAAGTTTGTGTTTTGAACATGCCATCAGGTGTTCTGGACTTTGCTTTTGAAACTACACAAACAATTATACATGAGAATATGGTATTCAAAAGTGCTATGTCATGCCAAAATTGCATTTCTTAGAGACAGGTGTTAAGGTGGCGTTCACGCTTACAGTGTTACTATTAACTATGTTATTTAGTAGTGCCGTGGAGTGCCGTGCCGATATCGTGGTTGTTAAAGTTTACCATTACTCACCCTTACCCTGTGGTATTGTAGGTAGTTGTCGTGGTAACGGACATGTGATTGTGTTCTCCTTTTGATCCAAAATGGCCATAGTGTTGTCATGTTTTTCACCGTTGATAAACAAACAGTTTAAATTTCTGTTACTTTCAAATTTTAATTTGTTTACTTGAAATTTTATCTGGAATTAACAGTAAGAAAATGAATGGAGTTTTACGTTCTACTTTTCTGCTATCTATGCTCTGTAGCGAGCTGATGGAATAAGGCAATCAGGTCCATAAGTCTCGTCTGACGTCAACTTCGTCTAACAACTTTCAGGTACAAACAATGGTGCATTACTTTCCTTTGCATTGTGCAATGGAGGAAATATTTCCAGGACAGTAGCCTTGTTTGATTGTAATCAATGCTGGATATAGTGTTCCAGTCATCTATGTGACACCCCTGAACTTTCTAATGAACTCTTCCGCACATGCATACTTTCAATAAATATGAAACTGTATATATATGATTGGAACATCTTATTTGTAAAATTAGGGGTGTTCTTTTATGGTGCCAACTCCTCAATACATGACTATGATATATTTTCAAAAAAACAAATATGCTTACCTGTCTTGAATCTCCACCATTTATAAATTTCTTGTAGCTCAAACTGGATGGTTGTAAGGATGAAATGGAAGCACATGATTGGTCAGTTCTGGACAACCAAGGCGGAGTTATCACTGATGATTGACATAATTCTTTTGTGGTGCACCTGAAACAAATGGATGAGACTGGTTAAGAAAAATCATGAAATCAAAAATTAATAAGTATTTGTGGACATTTTGTTAAAACAACACCTTTTGATCAGTAAATGAATGGGGAGACTGTGGTTTACTTTATCCAAACAACTACATTGTGGTTGCCCATACTCATAGATTATTCATGAGTTTCATTAGAAACCAAATCTTATATAAACAGTAAAGCAATTCTATAATTACACCAATCAAAGACATCTAACTGAAATTGGAATGATACAAATCGATGCTATCAGTTCAGCAGATACACAAAATGTTTTGAAAACCTCTTGACAATCCCTTTAAACTTCAGTACAAAAAGATAAGATGAATCATATCAGAAGTCTACACATTAAAATTATTTTCTGTGTAATTCTCTTTTCTAATCTCCTAAAATCTGTTTTTAATTATTTCATCTTTAAAATCTAAAATAGTTTTTACTTAACGACCTTTAGTTTTATTTTAGGCCAAACTGAATTAATTCTTTGTTGGGTTGTTGAGATCCGAGGGCCTGTTTGCTACAGACTTTGCACGTTTGCGATCCTTTGACAATTGGTAGCCTAATAAAAAAGAGAAAGCTAAAGCCTCTTTCTTTCTTTCTTTCTTTCATCCTGGCCAAATTTTCCTCATTGTACACTAAAAGGCCCAAACAGGTGTAGAAAAGTAGGATATTGAATTTCATTTGGAGTGATCTCTCTGTAAAACTTGGTATCAAACAACGGAAAAGCACAAAATAAATTCACTATGGCCTGAGAACTATTATAATTGGTATAATTATCAGTAAAAATATGTTTCGAGATTTACGACCTCACAGCAGGTCAATCAGCTTGCATTCTGGGTAGCTAATTTCTGCGACATAGCTCTATCATATCCCAGCATGCCCATCTAAGGGCACCATGGGTAGAGTAATTCTAGAGACATATTTTAGTACAAGTGCAATCACTATAAGATGATCTCATATATCATAGAGCATTCTGGGTAGTGAATTTCTGCGACATTGTTCTTTAACCTCCCAGGATGCTTCTCCCATGGCATTATGGGTACTGTATTTCTTGAGACATATTTTCGAATATTGATACAATTAAGTCAGGGGTTATATCTATGACGTACTCATATACCAGAGGGGATTCTGGGTGATTCATGAATCAAAGTGCATTGTGGGTAACTAAATTCCTCAATCTCTATACTCAGAAGGGGAATCAAGGTGCATTCTGGGTATCTTATCGCTATATTCCATCTGTAAATTACCAGCTAGTTTGATCTCTAACTGAAACTTGTTTGAACAGAAAAATCTGCCAAAATATCTTATCATTTAATGATAATTTCATAGAAAACTGTATCTTTTGGCGTTTTTATTGATGAAATATTATTTTTGATGATGAAATTCAAGCCAAGTGCTGAGAGGTACATGCACCAACCTGCAGCTGTTTGCTGATATCTTTGAGGAAAGGAATTCTTGATCATAATTTGATCAAAACTTATTTTAACTTTTCATCTTTCAAAAAATCTTTAAAAATTTTATTATTCCAAAGATTTGGTTGAAAAAAATTTAAAATTTCCAAAGGTTTCACCTTTATCTTTTTAGTATTTTGATTATCTCCATTGTAATCCAACAAGTTTTCTACGACAGTCCCACTCCAATGATGTTGTTTTTAACCAATCAAATTGTATCATGTTAACCCCTTCTGTTATATTGCTCTCTTTGAGTTTTGCTATCCCACAATTCATTTTGTTATCAAGAAGCAAGCTCCACAAGGCACAACTTGATTTAATTAGATTAAAAATACATACCTATTGTCCATGACACACCAGCCACAAGTTTCATCTCCGTCATTCATACATTCGTCACAGGAAGTGAGGTCATCACAATGGTTTAACGATAACACAGACAGCTGAAAATATTCAAAATAGATTCTTACACTTTCCTTAATATCAGATACATAAAATGGGTTTAATGCTGGGTTTAATTTAAACTATGGCCACCACTTTGACAACCAACAAATCTGTTGCAATCCTACAGTTTTTAAAGCTACATCGAAAATTTCTAGGGTGAAAAATTCATTGAACATTGCAATCTATAGAAAGTTTGTACAAGACACCTACCTTGTGTGAGCCAAGTATGTAGAGTAGATTGGATTGTGGGTGATTTGTGATTTGTAAAATGATGTCACCCACACTGTGTGTAATCTTAAATAATTGGTTAACTTGGCCATTTTCAAACCTCAACTAAAAAAAAATCCGAAAAATTGTCAATGTTTTTATTGAGAGCAGACGTGAAATAAAAGGCTGTGGTAGAAGCATTATGATTACGACAATAATTTGGCTCTTGTGAATAGTTCACACAACTGAGCCACCATTTTTCATCTTTAAAGATTGTAAAAAGGTTTTTAAAACTTTTAATGTGCATCAGGGACATTGAGAGCATTGATTTGCACCATTACAATTTCCAGTCAGACGTCTGTGGTTCCTGCAATTAGCTGCCAATAATGTCTAAAGGGCTGTGTACATATATAGGATTGTATCAACATGGCTATCAAAATGAGTCAAAAATTTATTGCATTAAAGGGTTGAAGTGGGGGGGGTGAAAAAGTTCATAAATACCTTAATGACATGACCATCTTGTGTACCAATATAGGCGTATCTATGGTTACCTTCAGGGTGAACAAAGATGGCGGTTGGTTTGTCAGATGTAAAGAAATGTAATGGTGTTGCAGAGATTGGTTTGGAACCTTCGATGGCTGAATAATCCTTCCATTCTCCTGATTCTCCACAGAAGTCTACGGAACCGAAAATCTGAAATATAAATAAACAAAATGAATTTATCTTTTGAAAATTTTTGGTCCCATTCCAATATGGAGTCTTTCAATCCTTCAAATTCTACTTACTTAAGGGACACCACGTAGTGTGCAATGAGGGAAATTTTGTCAGAACAGCAACATGTCCAACAGTTGATGGACCTTAAAAAGCAGACTCTGTAGTAAGTGGTATCCCTTGATAAGTTTGAGATTTGTCTATCTATCTAAATTTCAATATGTCTACACAGTTTATGTTATCTAGACCAATAACTACAGGACTATATCACTTAGCTCTGTATCATTTCTGATATCATAGTAAACTATATGACTATATACTTTCAAGATGAAAGTACTATTTGTTGCATGATAAAGGGAGATAAGCTCTATATCAGTTGGTTACAAATCTGAGTATAGCACCTGTTCTCCATTTATCATCATCAGAACAGCTGGTACAGACTCATATCCCTATTATACATGTCTAATACCTTGACTGCAATAGCCAGCTTTTTGAATAACAGGAGTTAGTGATGCAACGATTTTAATGGATTACAGCGAATAAAAACCATCACCAAAAAGTTTGTAGGCCATAAGCCATTATGTTTACAGTCTTTCTGTCAAGGGCTCTGATTGGATTGTAAGCTAATGGATACAGCCAATCGAATTGCTGCATTTTCAAACTGCTGTGATTCAAGAAAGGTGGCTATTACAGTCAAAGGTATAGGACAAAGTTTGAAATAGCTTAATATTGTGAAGATATAAGGTATAAGATGAAGTTTGAAATAGCTTGATATTGTGAAAATGAGTCAAGGTATAAGATGCAGTTGGTAATAGCTTGACATTGTGAAGATGAGTCAAGGTATAAGATGCAGTTGGTAATAGCTTGACATTGTGAAAATGAGTCAAGGTATAAGATGCAGTTGGTAATAGCTTGACATTGTGAAGATGAGTCAAGGTATAAGATGCAGTTGGTAATAGCTTGACATTGTGAAGATGAGTCAAGGTATAAGATGCAGTTGGTAATAGCTTGACATTGTGAAGATGAGTCAAGGTATAAGATGCAGTTGGTAATAGCTTGACATTGTAAAGATGCAGATATAAAGTTGTTTATATTAAAAGTAAAGTATTTAAATGTCTGTCTACAGAATACACAAGTAGATTTCTTTCATCTTCAGTATTTCAATATACTTTCAATAAACAACATGCTCTGTACTATAATCACAATTACTTCTATAGCTGTTTTTTCTGTCTCTTATTCAGGGATGTTAATTTGATTGAGTTTGCCAGTCATGTCAGATATAAGTTATAACATTATTTTAACTTGACTAGTTATATTCTATAATCAATTACTGTCTTCCTAAAGTCAAGAATTATTTCTATTTTGTATTCAGACTTGTTGATTCGATTGTATTTGAATATGTCTGATTATAGACATTTGTTTTTTTTAGTTAGCTTGCCAGACAAGGTAATATACGCCCACCGACAGCTTTGATTATGAATAAAAATATTTGGCAGTACAGTAACAATTACCAGTAAGAAATATTCAACCTTCAGTCATACACTTCTTTTAAACGTTGATTTCCCAGATCTTTTAACAGTCATTAATAATTGTCTTCAAATCTTTCACAAACTGTGTCTTCTAGAGTGTTCACAATCTAGAAATTTAATACTTTCGTTGCACGGTTAATTCTTAAAACATCCCTCTGTTAAAAAATATTTGGCCAATGTTATATCTCTTTAAGTAATAAACAGGTTTTAATATTTTGCCTAATAGTGGAGTGTTGGTACCGAAAATACCAAACTACCATCTAAATCTATCATCTAGACTATCTACCCTCTGGTGTATATTCCAATCCTGACAATGGTACCATCTTGGAATAATCTATCTCTCAGTCAACAGTGTTGATATTTTAAAAAGAACACAGTATTCCATCTGTTACCTTGGCAGACATTTTGAAATTTAAACCCAAACTATCTGGTATTGATAGCTTTATCTTTTTAAAAACATAGTAAAGTAGTGTGGCTTGAAAAATAATCAACATTTGCTTCTGAAAATTACCCTTTTATTGTTTTTAAAGAATTTTTGAAGTTATGGTTACTTTTTAAGACTTTGTTGTCTGGCACCATTACTTAGGAAGAATGGTGAGGTGACTCTTGTAACAGATAAGTCTGTTACAAAACTGTCCTGATGAGGATTCCATATCCAAAACACACTAATGAGGCTTGATAAACAATCTAGGTTTAAAGCCAAAAATTACGGTACAGAGGAATTTTTGTTGAATTTCATCGTCCTGATCTATATAATAGGAGAGTTACTACTTGTCCTGATGAGAGCATCATATCTGAAACACACGTACACAACTAAAGAGGTCTTGTCACTTCAATGTAAACCCTTAAATCAAAACTAGCTGCCCTGATGAAGATTGTGTATCCAAAACATTTGAAGACACTAAGAGATGAACTCTCTTCAATTTCCAATTTCGAAAAGTTTAGGAGGTCTGTCAACATCACATGAAAGGGTAAGGCGAACATCAGACTACCTTTGCAAAAGACATAAAAAAGGCCATTCCAAAATTTTTGGGATCGAGCTATGCCAGAGAAAATACAAATTACGCTTTTCTCGACAATTCTTTGATATAATGAAAAAAATAAACATCCAACAATAAAACGTGAAATTTACGACCATGAATATTCAAATAGAGATGTCGTTATCCTCATAAGATTTTTTAATATAATTTTATTTTCCAACAAATTACCGTTCTCCTTCCACTATCTATGTACCAGAATTGATCTCCCTTTGAGAAAAAACGAAGGAAAACGCGTCTCAAAGAGACCGATGACATAAAATTAATGAAAACTGGCAAAGATTTGAACATTTGAAAGAAATAAAACCAGAAAATGACAGTTAGCCATGATTTGTGTAATTCCCCATGATGAACGTTCAAAGCAAATATCAGAGATTTCCACGGACATAAAAATGATGTAACTAAAATGAGGGACATTGAGTAGGATGTAATAGCCCTTCCCGTGGGATTTGTTTGATCTGCAATCGACACACGCTAACATAAAGAAACCAGCCAAGCAGTTAGTTTGACAAAATATGGTCCTGACTCAGCGAAGGTCAGCATCAAACATGTCATATCTAAGGGAGGTAATGACACGATAGTCGTAACTCTTAATCCTCCCTTTCCCAGTTATCCTACTTTCGCTTTATTTTCCGGTTTATTAGTTTTAATTCAGCATCTCAATTAGTAGATGTGAGTTTTAGTACCGATGTTGTCATAGTTTATGGTCAATTTTAGTATCTTCAGATCAATATTGATAACGATAGCTCAGCTCTCTAATCGGTACTACTGAGAGACCAATAAAAGTCACCATAAAATATGGCATATTCACAATGACAAGCTATTACGAACATCGTGTTATACATATTCACAATGTCAAGTTATTACGAACTTCGTCTTATACCTTAACTGCAATAGCCACCTTTCTTATATCATGCACATTTGTAAATGCAGGAATTTGATTGGATTGTATGCTAGCAAATACAGCCAATCAGAGCCTGCAACAGTAAGACTGTACTTGTTATCAGAGGCTTTGATTTGCTGTATACACTAGCGTACAATCCAATCAAATCGCTGAATTTACAAACCGAGAATGGTGGTTATAAGATGATGAAAGTTAATTCTTGTATAGAATAACAAAAGTAAAATATCTCAAAATATAAAAAATAACAACTTACTAAGGGAGGACAAGGTTCAATTTTTTTATAATGTTCAGGACCAAAATTTCCTACAGCTTTATAACAATTTCGAACCGTTTCATTAAACTCCAAATCTATATCTTGAATATCATATTCACAAAATGTTGATTTCTTCGCACCTGCTGATGAAACGGTGTTTGAAAAAATGACGTAAAGTTTACCGTTTGTGAAATAAGCATTTTGTACCACATCATAAGAATCCGAATCTGATTTTTGACATTTTATTGGAATTTCCACAAATGATCGGAAATACCTGTCCTGCTGACATAATCTGTTGATTCTCGATACAATTTTCTGCGATCCTGGGTTTTCTCGTTGAAGAGTGATGAAGTAAACAAAGCCGCCATTTTGAAATCCATACAATTGCCTCACTATAAAACTTTCGCGATACTCTTTCAAAATTTCCAATTTCGTAGATCCTTCGGTATCGCGATGTATGAAATCTAGATTATCCAGGCTACGACTGCTGATACTAGGCACAAGGTCACGATAAGCTGCATCCCCAAGGTCACTGTAGGCGGTTGCTATGTACAATGCCTGCGTGTTGTTGATAGAAGGAGCAAGAAACATGTAACAAGAATGATGGTCGTTAGGGACTAAAGGTTTATGAAAAAACTTTTTAACGTTTGTGATATTGTTTAATGCCAATGTTTGGCAAGATCCGTGAAAAAGTGACGAACATAAAATGAGCGAGTTGGAGGCGGAGTCAATCACTAAGCCTTTGATCTGACTGTTGAGTTGAGTTTTAGGTTTATCACATGGTAGCAATGGAGGCGGGCACTCCACATTATCCAATCGTGGTCCAGTTGAAGCACTCTGCACGATGTTGAGATCGGGATCCAGTTTATGAAGTCTGTTTAAGGCACCGAGAAACACGTTGCCCGTCTGGTCATCAATGACTAGTTTTTGCAGAATATTTCCGCCAGGGTCTCGGAAACTGTGTAGTATTTTGATACATTGAGTGTGACAGATCAGCGACACCAGGAGAAATAGTTGCAGTCTGATTCCTCCTTCCATTTTCTCATTTAGTTACCTCCCTTACCTGAAAAGAGAAAGAAGCCATTTTTATAAAGATGCTTAGAAAATTAAAAGCGAAAATTAACTTGAGTCTCCTTAACCTTCACTTAACGATCTACCGTCTTCGTAATGCCCAACGCATCCTGGAAGTGAGGACAGTTTGATCTTCCAACATTCATATTTATTTAATTATATAAGAACCATAAATTGTATTTGAATTCTGATAAGTGACACTCATGGCTAAATGAGCTCAATCAGTGAGTGTATCCCTTTTAGTTTCTGTAAGTTGTATAGGTGGCTATTGGTAAAAATGATGCTTCCTTCTTAATAGAAAGGTTCTATTAGCACCATTCTGATTTTAGGATCAGATGTCTGTGGTTCCTGTAATTCCAGAAAAACATGACCAGCTCATGATGTTCGATTGCAATTAAAAAAGGCTGGAATGGTGTTTATGATAGTATCTTCTAATTAGTATGTTTTGGTGTAATTGGCCAAGATGATGTCACTCTTGCAAATACCAATTGCTTAAACAGAATATATGCGATAGTATATCTCATTTGTATGCCTTCAACATTGAGTGAGTAATACAGTAGACTGTTGAACATGATGGCTCATTATGTATTGTAGTTAACAAATAATTGTTGAACGTCTACATATATTACACTCGGTCATAATTTACATAATCTAGACAAAATCTACACCTTATTAACATTTTACAGGTATACAAAATACAACTGTCTACAATAGTTTTTAAATGAACAGTAGTCAAATAAAACTTACAAATATATTCTGACAAAATAACACCTCGCAGTGTGCAATGAGCGAAATTTTATCCTGAGTGCCAGCCTACCCTTTTACTATTTCCATCTGCATGTAGCACACAGGGCCTCTGTTTATTGCCCCATCCGAACGACTAGATGCTTATTCTCTTACCTACATCACTAACAAGGGAAACAAGGTTGAAAATTAAAGAAATAATATCAACCTATGCCAGAATTGAACTATGAACCAAATTTCTTAATATTAGGTATGATTGACTTACTTAAGGAAAAAAATTCTCTTATCGTTTCAAACAGTTACTTTCTTTACAAAAAATGTACAGCCATTTCATCTATAAAAATTTATCACCAAAGTTAAAAACAAAACTTACCTTTTTTGAACCATAACCCTGTATGCGGACTTCAACTTACAAAGGAATAATTCAGATTTGACAAAAGTGTTACTTGTTGATATAAGTTAACTTTTACTTGAAGTAGTGAAGTAGGTAAAAACACTGGGGGTTATAAGTGAATCATAGAGGTAAAAAGAAATAACCTAAATTCCATTCTCAAAACCTATATTCTTCAAGATAACTACAGAAAACATTTGGTTTAAATATGTTCACTCTTCAAGTTTAGTCATGGACATTTTATTTCGTTTGGGGTCTGAGAAGATTTCATAGCTATGTGGAGTCTCTTAAAAGCCCAAATAGAGTCCAAGTTGACAATCCCAGTTGCAGAGAAGCATCAAGTCTTTGTTTTATTATAAAACAATATATATATTTAAACTTATATATAGTAGTGTAACAGAAGTATACGTGTAACAGAAGTAAGTTTATTAGAAATATAAGTGTAACAGACAAGAATTGTAACAGGAGTATAAGTATATCAGAAGTAAGTTTAACAGAAATATCAGTGTAACAGAAAAGAATTGTAACAGAAGTATAAGTATATCAGAAGTAAGTGTAACAGAAATATCAGTGTAACAGAAAAGAATTGTAACAGGAGTATAAGTATATCAGAAGTAAGTGTAACAGAAATATCAGTGTAACAGAAAAGAATTGTAACAGAAGTATAAGTATATCAGAAGTAAGTGTAACAGAAATATCAGTGTAACAGAAAAGAATTGTAACAGAAGTATAAGTATAACAGAAGTAAGTGTAACAGAAATATCAGTGTAACAGAAAAGAATTGTAACAGAAGTATAAATGTAACAGAAGTATAAGTATAACAGAAGTAAGTGTAACAGAAGTATAAATGTAACAGAAGTATAAATGTAACAGAAGAACAAGTATAACAGAAGTATAAGTATAACAGAATGTAAGTGGGAAGAGTTAAAGTATATTATGAGTAGATAAGAAGAATATTGATAAATCAACATATCAAATTACTAAATAGTCTACTAACTTAAACACTCTCTACACAGACATACCTAGCTTACAAATAACTTGTATACCTACATATATTTAACCTGCAATTTCATCTTATGATGGGACAAAAAACTGTGACCCCGTGTGTTATAGAGTGTGCACATTAAGGATCTCTAGACAGTTGAAATCTTTTGTAACCCATCTTACAAATATTGGCTAATATCTTAACTGGTATATCTTTAGCCTAGCAATGTTATCAATTGAAAGTTTTTATTGCATGTTGGGATAATACCGCAAGCAAAGAAATTATGGATCTCTCGATAGTTGAAAATATTCTCTTCTTTCAATTTGTACTGTGTTGATAATCCTGTACCTTTTGGGACATTGTATCTTATTTATTTTTACCTTAATGTAGCAATCTTGGCAATATTTACCTCATGCATACTGCATATGCAAAATTCAGAGCAGAAAATAAAAACACAAACTCCATTTTCTTTACAGTTTTCTTCATGAAATTTTTCAAAATACTTATCTAAGTTTATTGGATTTTAATCTTAAATATTAAAGATGAAAATTTATGTCATATTTAAGTTTCACTTTAACAAGTAGATGTTACAATATAATTAGTGAGTTATGAACAATAAACCTCCCCTTTAAAAACTATTAATATCCTATCTTAAAGTCATAAGAAAGTTATAGGATGGAAAGGCATTTTGAGTTACCAAAGGTACTTAGAGTCTTTAACATGAAACCCTTGATCTAACCAGCCAATATTCTCACCATATCTTGATGTGATTTGAGGACTGACTGTTGCATAATGGAGTGAGTGATGGAACGTTGAGGTCATTAGTTTTATTTTTTTTTTAAAAATGGTGATTGTAGGCTCTAATCTCTGTCAGTGTATGAACATTTTGTGACTAAGAACAGTCTGCAGTTTGTTCACAAATTCCAATCAAAGAGAAAGGCTCATGCCACTGTCCTTCATTGCATACAGCATGGCATCGCCCATCTTTATAAGCTCAAACATGAGCAGAAACTTAGAAAGTAAAACTGATTTCATGTTTGAAGTAGGGGAGCTATAGGACATCTTATTAAAATTCTATACATGACCCACGAATAAAACTGAACAGACAACCTACTCTACATCCTAGACATACGTTAAATATTTCAATATATAAACTAACACATCATTACACTATACACCTGGTACAACTGTGTTCAGAATTTTATACACCGCAATTTTTAACAAATTTCATGGTCAAGGTGTTCACATAGCCTTATTGAGTTCTAATCAAATCCAGTTTTGTTGAGTAACTTATACAAGAACACCTGGTTGATTTAACTTTCTATTTCATACCAGAGATATTTAGCTAACTTTCTTCGTTCAAGGTGTTCGTAAAGCCCTTGACAAACCCTGTCAGAAAGTGACATCAAGTGTTCATGAAAAAAGAAAAAAAAAGTTCAGTTAACCATATCATAATATTTGTAAAGTAGATGGACCATGCCTCACTTAACTGTGGTATTGGACTAGAGGGGGGTCCCCTGTAGTTGTTTATAATAACATTACACATCACTTAACTCTACAGATCACTCATTCCTTTCATAAAATAATTAGAACTCAAAACAAACCTCTCCTGTAGCTTGAAAAAGATGATACTTTCAAAAAAACAGAAGGAAATCGACATGAATCTATCCAAATTGAAATTCCTTTGTCAAAGTCCACAAGCGGACCAAATCAATGAGGTAGACACGAAATAAAATAGACAATCCTGGACAGTGGTGGAGCCACCCTCCCAAGAGATATAGTCAACAGACAGACTTACTGGGGGACAACTGTCAAAGATGAGATTCAGTATGAGGCATCTCTGTGGATGCAGGATTGGTACAAACCTTCCATGGATCGTCTGAGAGGGTTAACCCTCAAGAAAATTGTGAGATTTGGAATTGATGACACATAATGAAGTAGACATGATATGAGTCCAACAGCCATCCTGGATCTTAGTAGATGAAATTAACTGACCAAGCTGTTAAAAGACATCTTAGTGGTATAGATCTACAATAACTATCCTAGCATCACAACAAAACAAAAAATATTCCAACTTCAGTCACAAGGTGTAGAGAATTACCCAAGATGAAAATAAAGAACCAAGCAAGATGTCCGTCGAGAGAGAAAGTATTTCTTGGAGAGAAGATCTTCAATACCTTTCATAGCATCACAACAAAACTCACAAAAAACATACAAAATATGGAGAATTCAGTATTGAAGTTTATCTCCAGATGTAAAGTATTATTCAAGGGAGTAAAAGAGATCAAATATCCTGGACAAATCACTCTTCTATTGTTGAAGTTAAACACCTTGTCTCAGAGACTATTATAAATAATAGTGTTTTAACACGCTTATAAACACAAAGACTTTAGTCAATTTATATCATACACAACTGGTAGCAGGGGTGACGGGGAGAGGAGAGAGTAAGGGGTGAGGAGAGAGAAAGAGGAAGGGGGTAGTTAAACACCTTGTCTCAGAGACTATTATAAATAATAGTGTTTTAACACGCTTATAAACACAAAGACTTTAGTCAATTTATATCATACACAAGGGTAGCAGGGGTGACGGGGAAAGGGTGACGGGGAGAGGAGAGAGTAAGGGGTGAGGAGAGAGAAAGAGGAAGGGGGTAGTTAAACACCTTGTCTCAGAGACTATTATAAATAATAGTGTTTTAACACGCTTAAAAAGACTTTAGTCAATATAATATCTCTTATTCATAGAACACAGAATATAGACTGATGTAGAATGAAGGGGCAGTGATAGGGTGGGGGGATGTTTAGACACATGAACCACCATGGTATATCTCTAAGACAGAGTATAGAAGGA